TTGGGTTGTTTTCCCATTTGTCAGTATGTTGCTCAGTTCTCCAGGGCAGGACCTGTCTATTTCTTTTGGCTTTAAAATGTATAGACTTGTGTGTTATGTAAATAATAACAACAATGAATATACAATTCTTAGAAAAAATGCATTAAGATGGATTTAAGTATGATAGTATGTGTCAGTACCCTAAGGGTAAAAAACATTACAGGGATGTTGTAATTATATCCAAAACAAACATTATAAATCAAAGAAATTCAGGGTCAAAGTCAAACTTCGAAGGAATCCAAACATGTCAAGGTATGGAAATGCACAGATGAGGCACCTAAACAACCTAAACTTTGCCCTGTAATGATGCCAGTCAATACTTACCTAATTATGATTATAATAGGTTAGTGTGGGGTCCCAGTTTAGATTAATCTGATTTTTAAAGAGAAAGGAGTTTTTCATTTCTTTCACATGGCGGCATCATAAGAGATGGAAAGATACAGTTGAGGCATGCAAACAACCTTAACTCTGTCCTATAGTGATGTCACTAGAGAGGGGAAAATAACATATTTAAAAATCACTTTAATCTAACCTGGAAACAGATACTTAAAAATGCTTTAATCATAATGGTCTGATTATTTTATGGTGTCACTACAGGGTAGAGTTAAGGTTGTCTGTATGCCTTAATGGTGCATTTCCACCCCACAGCATGTTTGGATTTCTTAAATTTTATTAACATTAACTCTGAATTTCCTGGGATTATAACACTTAGTTTGGGGATAATTATAATTTTCCTGCAATGTATTTTACTCTACATTGGAATTAAGATTGACATTTAATAGCAGTAGTTTAACATAGTTTTTATTTGTCAATTTTAACAGCTCAGTACATGTCCCTTACATTAGCACATGGATAATAAAGCCATGAAATATTGGGAACTATTACTGAATTAATTAAAACAAAATGAAATCAGGGCTAAAATTTTCCCAGTCTGAGAAAAGAACTTTTTAAAAATTCTTACCTCACATAATTAATGGAGATATGCAGGTTTCTGGTTTTGCTTCATTTATGCAAAATCTATGGAGTATTTTAAAAAAAACTTTACATAATAAAACGTTTAAGGTTTAGATGATGGCAGTCTTATCATCTAAAGATCCACAAAACAGATTTTTTGTTCATGTTGAATAAATCCATTATATGTAAAAATTAATGTGATCCAAATATTATTCTATGACAAAAACTACAGCATATAACCATATTTGTCAGAAATACTGATCATAATATAACAATGACTGTATTATCCACTATAAAAGGTAGGCTGTCTTAAATTTTGTTAGCAACTAGGAGTGAGTCAATTTTCACCTCTCACTCTTCAGCCTTGCTTTGCCAGTGCGCTGAAAAACAATTAAAATCTCCAAAACACAGTGGAAGATCCAATTGCAGTTTCATAGCTATGTTGAGTTTTGCATTTAAAGTAGGGATTGAACCATTCTGTTCTATTTGAAAAATACATTTTATCATCCCCAGAATAACCACACGTTTTGAGTAGAGAATAGATTACTTAGTTGGGAATTAAAACGAATTAAGAATCCGCTTTTTAAAGAAATGTAACACCTACTGTCAGTTAATTTAGATTTTTTTTTTAAGATTATCTATAACTCTAAATTTCCTAGGTTTGTAATACTTGGGAGTGATTAAACACCGCTGTGATGTTTTTAAATTTCAACCTTAACTTCTGTTTAACAGTTTTTTATCTGAGTAAAATCTACTTTTCTTGTTTAGCTACTCTAAGAAAACATTTACATTTTGGCAAAATGCAGTTTCCTTCTTGCTGACTTTTCTGTCCTACTGTTATTACAAGGAAGTACTTGCAAGGTAGTTCGTTCAACACAGTAGATAAAAACATAGTTTTCTGTAGATTACATCTTTATGGTATTTATAGAATCCTCCTTTTCTGTCTACTAAAGCTTTAAAAAATTCTTCTAACCATCTTCTTCTAATTGCAGGTTGGTTTAGATCTGTGCAGAGGATAGAAGTTCCACACGGGGAAAGATCTCAAAATGAGATGTTGCAATTTGGCTGGGTCCTGAACTGAAAGGTAACACGCAACTTTCAGAAGTCCCCAGGAAGGAAAATTTAAAAAATATAGTTTGGTTTTGATCAAAACATTTATTGAGACAAAAATGTTATGAAACATTCTGTTTTGATTTTTTTTTACTTTACATTTTCGATGCCATTATTATGCAAAATAAACAATTCCAAAAGGAAAAGTTAATTCAGACTGTACAATGGAAATGTTTCATTCTGAACATGGTGACAGGGGACCTTTTGACATTTTCAGAAAGTTGGTTTTTTCCCCTGGTTTTCTCTTAAATGAAATTTCAGTGACGCCAACATAATTCCCTGAAGCCTTTCGATGGCACTGCATTCTCTGGTGGCAAATGGTTCTGTCCCAGTGACCAGCTCCGAGTATAGGGCACGGTTAAATCATTGCTCTTGTATCTAAAGAAATAACCCATCCATCTTCACATGCTCAGAGCAGCACATCCGCTGATGTGCTGGGACTTTCCCTGCACTGCGGCCGGGCGATGCTCGAGGTCTGGACTGAAGGATGCACCTCAGCCAGTTTCTCACACGAGGGAGCCAGTGTGCTCATACCAGAGTAGCCAGCTGAGGGATGATTGACATTAGAGTAGGCTTGGACCGAGGAGACAGAAAGAAAGAGTCAATTTAGTGTTATGTGAGGTGCAGTAGTGCAGAGTTTTATATATATATAACTTGTTCTCCATACTTGGTTCTTAGTCACTCTCCCAGGAGCTGCTGTTTAGATGATTTCTTTTTCTCTTGTGTGATAGACTTTTATTGCATTAATTTTCTCATGGTGAATGACATTTGACTATCTCTAGATGATGTGCTAAGGGCTGGTCTGCATACAAAGGAGCAATCAACAGAAACTGCATCAGTTTTAATTTACACCTTCATTCCTCTGGTGCAAGTCTATGTCTGGACACTCTAATTTCAGATGCTAATGATTATGGTAGCACCCAGGAGCCCCAGTCATGGCCCAGTACCCCATGGTGCTGGGCGCTGTACAAACCCAGAACACAAAGGCAGTCCCACACTATCCCATAGAGTTTACAATCGAAGGGTCCTATTTTCCTTCTGCTGATGTCAATATTCAAAACTGAAATAGGATTCTGTTATTCAGAAATAAGTGTCCTCACAGAGAAATAACAAGAGCTGTGAAGTAAAACCGATGTAGTTATTTCCATGCAAATTTGTGTCCACTTCTGCCCTAAGCAGCTTCACTAGGGGTTGACACATTTCTTTTCTTTTGTTTACTGTGCAGAATGCGGTACTGTTCAGCATTCTGATACTGTACTTACCACTCAAACATTAGTGAGGAGTGAAATCGTTGTTGTTATGTTGTTTCATTGTTGTTTTCTGTGTGGGTAGTAAAGGAAAAATGAAGACAACTTCTTTTTAAAAAAAAGCTGTACAAATTTCCATAGGATGCAAATTTATTATAATTTCCAAAAGATCTAATTGACTTAGGAGCCTAAATTGTGTTGGCTTTCAATGGGACTTGGGCTCCAAAAATCTCATAGGTCCTTTTGAAAATATAATAAGAATAGTTAATTTGGATTGTACTACTGCTCAGATACCACAGTGTTGGGAGATTAGATAGATAGAATGGTGGGTATGGAATAGATCGATGGATCCATCTATCTGTCTCATCTCACTGGTCTCCAGATCCAGGGCCCCATTGTGCTGAGCACTGGTGGGGTCTTTCCATTGACTTCAGGGGAGTGTGGGTGAGGCCCTGGGGGCAGACCTGCCCACTGCATTGGTAGGGGAGTTGGCACCCTTCAGCCCTTTATTAACAGCTCAAAGGTGTCTAATAGTGCCATGATCTTTGGGCAGGTAAAGAAAAGGAGCCTGGAGCTAGAGAAATGAGCTATCTCGGTATTCCCGCTTCGGTGTAAGCCCCCTCCTGTATCACCCTGATCAGCACCTTCATTGCCCACCCCTGCCAGCCCAGCATTGCCATTATAAACTGGCTTGCCCCCCTCCCCTAGCCTCCCATGCGGGCGCCTCTAGAACGCAGCCCCTGAGTTTGACTCAAAGCCACAATGTTTATTTAAAGGATTGAATGGCAACAAACAGGCCCCTGTGGGCTTGGATCAGAGACAGTGAAGACAAGCTCAAGTCAATTACACTTGACAATGCTGTAATGGCCCGTGCTAAGTGGCCCCATTAGCCCGGCCGGCTCTGCAAGGCTATGGGGCCTTTTCAGGGGAGTTGCCGGCTAACCCAGCGGCATCTGCAAGACAAAGGAGCAGAGATGGGCCTGAAGATGTAGAGCTGGGCTCAGCTCACGAGGGTACGGTGTTTAGACGCAAGGAAAAGCATCCCCGATGCCAAGACATTGAGGGCCTGCTGCAGCTGTCAGACTGACCGGTGTCAATGCGCTGGAGGGAAGGGGGCAGTGGGTTACCCCAGTGTCGATGCATGGCAACCAGGAGATTTACCCCACAGCAGACTCCGGCCCAGCGCCAAATGGGTTCCGGATCAGTGTGGCTGGGGTACCCAGAAGCGATCCACATCCCACGTGGCCGTGGGCAGCCCGCCCAGTTTAATGGGTGCCGCTTTAATCTTAATTGCCTGCTTTACCCGGCTTCGGCCAACCCCTCCTTGCAGGCTCGGGGGTGAGAGGCTCTAATCCCTCCCCCCTCGCTCGACAAGTGCATTGGGGGTTCGTGGTCTGTCCCCTAAGCCTGCCCACCCCCTTCTCCTGCAGCCTCCCCGGGGCAGCGAGGCGTCGATTCTGCAGCTGGCGACCCTCTCGGGTCCCCGGGCTCCGCAGCTCGCTCCGAGCCCGGCCTCGCTGGACGCAGGCTGCGAGCGACTCGCTGTCTGGTCGGGTTCCAGCAATGGGAGCAGAGGAAGGATGTAATAACATGCCACGGGCAATAAATCATCGCTGGCTACTCCCCTCCCCCTCGCCCCGCATCGCCGCCCCCCTCTATAGAGGGGAGGGGACCAGGCATTTCAGCAGAGCTCAGCCGGCAGCAGCAGCCTCCGGACTTTCACTCCCAGCTCGCCCCCCTCGCCAGCATGAACGGGAAAGCCCTAGCGCTGCTCACTTGTCTGCTGCTCTCTCTCTCCCCCTCGGAGGGTAAGTGCGATGGCTCCACTCCAGCCCCCCGGGTCGCGGCGGCCTTTCCCCAGTGCATTGCAGCCGTCTGCCCAGGCACCGTGGGGCTGGAGCTGGGATCGGGGCATGGGGCGGGCGGGAGGAGCGCTGTCAGCCCACGAGAGGGAAACTTTGCAGAAGTCTCGGCCCGCTTGCAGCTCGTTTCCCCGGCTTCTGGGGGGTGCGTGTCTGTGGAGCTGGCCGGTCCACAGCGACTGCTGAGCCAAGGTTTCCGTTGGAAAGGAGAAACCAGCAACGCGGGGTTTGGGAGCGACCCCTACGGGCGGATCTCGCCACGGCTGGGACTTGGCGTCCGCCCCCCGTGTGCATTTGCTCGCGTGTCCTTGCCCAGCGGTGTCCAGTTGTGTACAAAGCTCGCTGGCCCGGACAGTCCCCAGCCCCTCCGTGCGCCTTCTCTCTCCCGTGCGCCGCAGCGATCGCTGAGCAGGGACCGGCAGCCCCCGGCAGGGCTCGGGGAACTGGGGTGCCAGCGGAGCGAGCTGCTCGGGCAGGCTGCCGAGGCGTTTCTGGGTGCAAAGCGAGAGCCGCCCTAGCGGTGTTTGTAATTACACAACAGCGACACCTTCTCCAGCTAACGGAGCGCAGCTCAACGCTACCCATTAGCAGCTGCGGAGCTCTGGGTCTGCTCCCAGCCAGCACCGGGCGGCCACTTGTCCGTGGGACTCCTTCCCCTGGAGCAGAGAGACCAAACCTCCCTCCTTTGGAGAGCAGCGGGAGAAAAACGAAAATGTCTCGGCTCTTGGCCGCTCCAGCCCAGACAGCTGGCGCCCCCCGGGATCTGCTGTGGGTTGGATCTTGGGGGCACCGGGTAACTTTGCTAGTAGGGGCTGGCATGCGCTGCCGGCCAGGGTGCGCGCGGCGAGCCGGGGCAGCTGGAGGGTGGCACGTGGTGTGTTGAGTGTCTCTGGGTCTGGGTGTGCAGCGGCGGGTGTGCAGATTGCGGGTTTTACACCTGTGTCTTGTGGCGCTCCGGAGAGCCCTGACCAGGCCGCCTGCGAACCTATGTCGAGCCTGGTGCGCCCCTCGGGGTTGTCCGTGCGCCCAGACCAGATGCGATTAGGCTGCAAATGCGAACTAATCGCTGCTGCTAAGTTCATGGGACGTTTTCCATGAAATAGCCCCTGCCCTTGGGAAATCAAGCAAAACACCGGCCTCCTTGATACCCACCCGGGTCCTTCGAGCGATCAGATCCTTTCAGATATAAGTATCAGAGGGGTAGCCATGTTAGTCTGAATCTGTAAAAAGCAACAGAGGGTCCTGTGGCACCTTTAAGACTAACAGAAGTATTGGGAGCATAAGCTTTCGTGGGTAAGAACATCACTTCTTCAGATTCAAGAAGCATCTGAAGAAGTGATGTTATTACCCTCGAAAGCTTATGCTCCCAATACTTCTGTTAGTCTTAAAGGTGCCACAGGACCCTCTGTTGCTTTTTACAGATTCAGACTAACATGGCTACCCCTCTGAT